GGCTTGGACGCCAGCTGCCGTAGGTTAGGTTTAGTGTCGGGTCGGTTTCTTGTTTGTTCTAAATGTTCAAAATCTAATGAAAATCCGTCGTGTTTGCATAAATGTCGTTAGTTTGTATGAAAGTTGCCCGTGTTTGCATGAATTTCATTCGGTTTGTTGAAAAAATGTTTGCAATATATGCGGACAGTGTTGGATGGTGGTCTCCCGCATCCGTGTACGCGGATTGGTCCCACCTGTCCGCAGATGGATGCGGGACGAAATTCGTGGGTTGCCGTTGGAGATGCCTTACATGACATTAAAACAGCCTTAAAAGGATTTGCATCCCACAGAATCTCAAAAGTGGGGAGAAAATGCAGTGCACTGGCACATGGAATGGCTGCGTCGGCCGGGAAGAATGGGGACTCATACAATACAAAATTGAGTCATTTATTTTAGAACGAAGGGAGTACATGATTGCAGACGTCGAGACTGGATTTTCTCCCATGCACGGGAGGTCCCGTGCATGGTCCTCTGTACAATACCACATAAATACTCTGTCAGATACACCTAAGAATTGTCCTAGAGCATTAGTGACCGAATAGTGATACATGGGCCAAGTGATGCAAAAGTCATCCCCTGTGCCTAATCAACTATCCATACAAAAGCCAGCATTTTATTTTCTTGTGAGATATTCTTTCGTTGATAATCTTTTGAATAAAAATCTCATTTTAAAATCTTCTTATATATTTGAATTCTTGACAACGTGGCCTTTAAAACAAGATCAATCTTGAATATATTTTAAGAGTTTAAATTTCATGAACATATTTCACTCATTTCAAAATACTGGTTTGTCTCATTGAAAAAAAACATATTTCACTCATTGAAAAACCTTGCTTATTTCAAAATCCTGAATTTACTCAGTACAAACACCGCTTTTACTAATTCGAAAAGAAAAATTAATTTCACTTAATTTAGAATAATAATTTGACTAATTTCAAGAAAATAATCTGACTCACTTTTTTGTACTACACACATTAATAAATCATTTCAGCCATATATCTAGTGAGAAGTGTATCGAAATATTAGAATTTTAACGTGTTCAGAATGTATCCAAAGTTGATCTTATTGTAAAGGTCTTGATATGAGGAGTTCAAATATATAAAAGATTCAAAAAATGGGTTTGGTTTTAAAGATATGAACCATCTAAACTGTGATAAAGGAAGTAAAAGTGATGGAATTTGAGATGAAGAGGGGAGAGATATTGTCAGACATGCATGTGTCATAGTAGCCTGTTGTGGACAGGAAAAGAGAGAAAGAAGGACGCATGCATGACATAAAGTGGATTGATAACTGACGTGGTGATACGAGGCTATTAATGCGGATCGTAGATACGAGGAAGGCTAGCTTGCATGCACGGATCTCCAGCAAAACCAACGAGGCATGCATGCACCGGACCTCCCGTGCATGGGAGAATAGCTTTTCTCTGCAGACGTCCTAGAGTGTCTACTTACTGATTGCAGACGTCCCAGAGTGTCTACGTTCCCCTTTCAAATCTGAATGTATCCCTACCCTAGAGTAATAGTATGTTTTACTCTTGATCCTCCTAAATAAAAAGGGATGGGGCGATTTAGGCTGTGTTCGGTTTCTCTCTGCTCCGTTAACTCCGCTCCCGGAGCGGACCATCCTTTAGCTTAATTAGGCGGAGCTGCCAAAACCCAACTCCCCAACTCCACGGAGCGGGGAAGTTCCGAACAGGGCCTTAAGAAGGCCCGTTGGGACGGTGTTTTAGGCCGATTTGGGAGTCCCATACTCACGTTGGAGACGCTCTTACACAGCCGAGATAAAAGCGCAACACATCACCCCTCACCCCGTCCGTCTTCGAGTTCCACGCCACCCCTAACTCAGCACCTCGCCCCGCCGTCGCGCACCCAAAACCTCGCCGGTGGGGACGGACTCCCTCGCAATTACACGCTTCGCTGCTGGTCCGTACGCTACGTTCGCTGTAGATTCATCTCTTCCTCCCTGTTTCCCTCACCGTTGGCGATGCAATCTCTCCTGCTCCGCCCTCGTTCACAGGTTGACCGGGTCCTCTCCCCACGGTGATGGCGGACGGCTCCAAGGACACCAGCAGGCGGCGGAATCTAGCGGACAAGCTCACCGAAGACCTCCTCATCGAGATCCTGTCGCGCGTGCCGTACAGATCGCTGTGCCGGTTCAAGTGCGTCTCCAAGCGGTGGCGCGGCATCATCTCCCACCCCGACAACCGCAAGGTGCTGCCGCAGTACCATCTCCAAGAACTCGCCGGCTTCCTCTACAAGCGCCAGCACCCCGTCACGGGCTATTTCTTAGGTCGCCACTTCGCCCATGTCTCGGCGGGAGGCCGCCCTCGTATCCGCCCTTCCCTCCCCTTCCTGCCTGACTGTCATCAGTTCCACCTTCTGGACAGCTGCAACGGCCTACACCTCTGCCGCCGCTTCGAGACCGCTGATTCGTGGGAATTTGATTACGTCGTGTGCAATCCTGCCCGGCTTCTTTGGCAATTGGCAGACAGCTCGCCTGGGTTTCGACCCGGCCGTCTCCTCGCACTTCCATGTGTTCCACTTCCTGGAGCACCAAATAGATGGGTATCCTAACGATGATGATTACGAAAGTGATGGACACGTCAAAGGGGTCGAGATCTACTCGTCCGGAACCGGGGCCTGGAGTCACAAGGACAGCGGTTGGGGCTTCCCAACTAGGATAGTGAATCATTCTAAAAGTGTCTTTTTCAATGGTTTTTTGCATTTGCTTACCTTCGAGGATGCCGTGGTGGCAGTGGATGTGGAGGGAACTACTTGAAGGGTTATCCCTATCCCATACAATCTGGATGCCCCAAAAGATCTTGGCGGCAAGTTCATTGATCTGTCTCAAGGGCGTTTGTATTTGGCGCATACTGATCAATATGATAAGTATAAACTATCGATCTGGGTTCTTGAGGACTATGACAGTCAAGTCTGGGTCTTGAAGCACAGTGTGAGATATATGCATCTATTTGGGGAGAAGTATGCCCATCATGGAAGCCAGTATCATATTGTCGCCCTCCACCCGCAACGAAACATGATTTTCTTAGCTTATGGGCATGACAAAAAACTCATGTCTTATGACATCGATAGTGGGAAAGTGCAGTTCAGCCAAGATCTTGGACATGATTCCGTGCAACCCTACCTTCCTTATGTTCCCTTGTACTCCGAGGAATTGGCAGATTGGCAGTGATGATCTGGCTCCGCATATCACTGCTCCATTGTTGACCTTTCAGATAATGTTGAATCATATAAGGTCCCAAGTAATACCGGCAGCTATTTGGTTAGATCTTTCTCATGTTGCGTTACTTCTCCTTGTAACCTCACTTTATGGGGCTACCTGTTCCAATTAACTTAGTAATGCTAGCTGCTTGTCATATGTATAAACATATATGTATTTATCAATTTATGGTTGGTAGCAGCATAGCTGCAACAGCCTTTACTATTATTAATTTTATTATGGAGCTACAGTTTATTTATACCATGATTGCTGTCTGTGATTGTCTAGATTGTTGAGTTGGGCTGTTGGTGTATGACCTCTTACAATTATTGTATCTGTGTTCTAGGTTGAACTTTATCGTGCATTCAAACTATGTAATCATATATACCATAAAACATGGGAGGGAATGTATGTTCTTTTCCTCTTGTCAATGTAGTGACATTATGTTTTTACCTTTGACATACTAGTGAACAATAGAGCATGGGAGAGTTTATGTTCCTGTGCTCCTGTAAATGTTGAAATGATCAACACTAGTAAAGCAAAGCATATGAACAATAAAGCATGGGAGAGTATATGGAACTGCAGAAATGATATGATCTTTAATAGAAAAAAAATCTTACATACTTCTTACGGGTTATTTACAGAGCTACAGCCTGGATTCGTACGTGATCGTTACTCACTCATGTAGATTCTTGGGAGCTTTTGGTTACTGGGTGCAACCGATGGGAGACGGTAGCATGGGCTATCTACAACCGGTTCGGATGGGGATCCAATAATATGATAGGTGTTTAGTCATCTTGTCCTGTTTTTCGCCAGTTGTTGCTTTATTTACCTTCGCCAGTAGTTGTTTTTTGTCAGATTTAAATTAATCAAATTTTAACTTAAAAAAGAAAATGATTTAAATTGAAAATAAAGATAAAATCTATGCCGACGGGCACCGTCAGGGCCGTTGGCATAGAGTTGACGCCGTGAGCAGGCTGTTGGAGGCCAGGTCACGAGGGCCGCTGATATGCCGACGGTCTTTCTATACCGACTGCAGCCGTCGGCATAGATGGAGGTATGCCGACGACCTTTCTATGCCTGCTTTCGGCATAGATGGAGGTGTGCCGACGGCTTTTCTGTGCCTATGGTTTTTCCCAGGCCGTCGGCATAGCTCCAACTATGCCGACAGCCCCGACAAAAAGCCATTGTATAGAAAAAGCCGTCGGCATAGTGGGTTATTACCGTAGTGCATGAGGCATACAACTGGCTCTTGAAATCCAAAAGCATTCTCAGAATATAGGTCTTAGGTTGGCTACTCCTCTCCGACAAAGTTAACACGCGAAACATGTTAAACATAAGGCATTACAATATCAACCATCCTCGTTTCAAACAGCACCTGCCATTGGAGTCAAACAGTTGAAGCAGCGTTCGGGAGATCCACATTGATATATATGCAAGATTATACCCGGGGATAGACCAGTCCTCTTATCTAACACTGAGGATCAAATGTACATCTGCAAAGACTAGTCAGACTCAAAAACTCCTTGTATTAATAGACACGCCTCAATTCTCTACCACCACAATGAGAACTCACACGGTCCACCACCATGAGAAGAACAAACAGAAGAATGGACAGAGAAATAAAAGGCCTCGTGTATATTCCAGTACTCAATTACAGAATTACTTGCAGCTAGGGAAAAATCCTAGTGCATTGAACGTCAATTAGCTTGTCCCAAGCCACCTTTCTTCAAGAATACTCACTAAGCCCAGATAGCAAGTGCTGACATGGCAATAGCCCCAAAAAACAGGGCAACATATGAGCACACTTGCAGCCTCGGGTTGCAGCTCATCCTCCGGCTAAGGAAATCAGCAGCAATGAGATCCACTAAAGCCATATATATCAGTATTCCGGACGACATTGAATCAAGAATGCCCTCCACGACCAATGCCCTGGGGCTGTTGGCGTTGTAGAACGAAGCGATCCCCGCCCCCATGGCGATCCCAACAGGTGTTGTGATAGCAAAGAAGAAAGCCATCAGGAGTGCAGTGAAATTCTTGAACTGAGCCTGCATTTGTTTATGCAAAATGTAATGAATTGATGCAATTGACATGAAGGGTTCATTAGTGCCAACCTCAAGTGAGGAACTGCTGACCATAAAGCAGAAATGAAGCGGACAATTAACTCAGAAATGCAGCCACCCAAGGCAAAACCCTCGAAGAACTGGTGGAAGGAGAGAGCAGCAACAAGAGGTTTATTTTTTTTTACGGAACTTCGTCAGAGAGCGGGGAGCTCCCGCATTGCATTAAGAAGAAGTGAGTTGGCCCGGTTAATAAGGGAAACCGGACCCAAAAACCATACATTGACATGAAGAACAAGAGGTTTAATTCTCTCGCTCAAAAGAAACAAGAGGTTTAATGGTACATGGGCTCTGTGAAACGCCCAAAGAGAGCCCGATGATCACCGAATGTGATACAATCCCCATTTCCAGAATCTTCCTAACAATATAGGAAATCACTATTTAGCATATAAGTTGCAGATTTCCAAACTCAAATCATCTATCAAGATAGCGCATTTCAGATAAAGCAAAGGAAATTGCACTGACCAGAATTCTAACATAAAAGACTAAGCATGTGTGCTGTGTGTTTATACATTGCTATGTATATAACCTGCATAGGAAGGTAGAATTTTTTTTGCAGGATAATACTTGTATTACTCAAAACTATCCAGGGTTACAATCATGACTGGCAATGTCGAGGAGTTCGTCAGGACCTGATCCAAGCCACACAACAGTTCGGCATTGTAATCGTTCAAAATTTGCCAAAAAGTGACTAGCATTATTTTTGTTGCGCACAATATGAGTAATACAAGAAACATGCTCGATCAAACTAGCTTTGATCTCCTCTATTGGAAAAGCATATTTTGATCTATTCATATCTCCAATATGAATCATCTTCACTGCTTCAAGGATGTCTGATTCAACATCAACATGCAAATTGCTCCATTGCAATAATACAACGATTATGCGAATTCTTTGGGATAACTGAATTTCTTTGGGAGATTGACTTTACAATATTATTGGATTCTGAAATTTTGATTTGCATACAAGATGTGACATGCATGCGTCTTTTTTTACCATGTACAAATTGTCCGTGCCTGCGAGACAACCACATAACGAGCTTGGCACGGCCTCTCCTCGCTCCCATGGGCGTGGGCGTGGGCGTCATACACGGCTTCCCCATCACACGCGTCATGGCCATGTGCATGGCTATGCTGGTGCGCCACCGCGTGCGCGCATCCCTACTATGTGCATGGCGTCGTGCTTTTCATCGTCGCCGCTCATCGCGGAGAGCCGTCCTCGAGCAGCGTCGTGTCGTCATGCCCGGCTTTGGCCGCGGCAGCAGCCTCCTCGCCGTGCCTGCACTCGTAGAAGCGGGTGCCGACGAACTCCATGATGAGCGTCCCCAGGGCAGCGAGCATGGCGATGAAGCACGGGAAGGGGAACCGGCGCCAGGGCGTGGTCGGGAGGCACGGGTTGGACAACTTCTGCTCAGCGTCGTGCAGCATGTGCACGAACCCCGGTGGCGAGGCCTGTCAGGGTCAGCATGGCAGATATGTTCGGACAGCCCTATATCGGCCTCATATTTAGACCAAATTTGAGGTTATCCGCACTATATAGAAAAGGAATAGAGGCGGTTCAAGAAGGGCCGTAGGACCGTGTTTGAGGCCGATTTGAGAGTCCCGTACTCCCGTTGGAGACGCTCTTACGACGCAGATAAAAGCCAACACATCGCTCGTCGCGCACTCAAAACCTCGCCGGAGGGGACGGACTGCCTCGCAATTACTCGCCTCGCTGCTGGTACGTACCAATGTTTTATATAGTGGGCTATGGCATTTAGCGGCGACCCTTAAAAACAGCTATAGCTGGGCTATAGCGGGCTATAGCGGGGCTATAGCGGGCTATAGCGGGGCTATAGCGGCAAATTGTACATGAAATCATTTAGCGGCAACACCCTCAAACAGCTACAGCGGAGCTATAGCGGGGCTATAGCCGGCTATTTAAAACTATGGTACGTACGCTGCGTTCGCTGTAGATTCATCTCTTCCTCCCTGCTGCTTCCCTCACCGATGGCGATGCAATCTCCTCCTCCACCCCCGTTCGCAGATTGGCCGCCTCCTCTCCCCACGGCGATGGCGGACGGCCCCAAGGTCATTTGTAAGCGGCGGAAGCCAGCGGACAGCCTCACCAAAGACCTCCTCGTCGAGATCCTGTCGCGTGTGCCGTACAGATCGCTGTGCCGCTTCAAGTGTGTCTCCAAGCAGTGGCGCGGCATCATCTCCCACCCCGACAACCGCAAGGTGCTGCCGCAGTACCATCTTCAAGAACTCGCCGGCTTCCTCTACGAGCGCCATTACCTAGTTCGCAATTTCGCCCGTGTCTCGGCGGGAGGCCGCCCTCGTATCCACCCTTCCCTCCCCTTCCTGCCTGGCTGTGATCACTTCCACCTTCTGGACAGCTGCAACGGCCTAATCCTCTGCCGCCGCTTCGAGACCGCTGATTCATGGGAATTTGATTACGTCGTGTGCAATCCTGCCACGGAGAAGTGGGTCGTCTTGCCCGGCTTCTTCAGCATGTGGCACACAGCTCGCTTGGGGTTCGACCCGGTTGTCTCCTCGCACTTTCATGTGTTTCACTTCCTGGAGCACGAAATAGCTGGGTATCCAGACGGTGATGATTACGAGAGTGATGGACACGTCAAAGGGGTTGAGATCTACTCGTCCGAAACCGGGGCCTGGAGTCACAAGGACAGCGGTTGGGGCTTCCCAACTAGGATAGCGCATGATTCTAAAAGTGCATTTGTCAATGGTTGTCTGCATTTGATTGCCGCCGAGGATGCGGTGGTGGCAGTGGATGTGGAGGGAACTACTTGGAGGGTTATTCCTATGCCAGATGATCCGGATGCCCCTACAATAGATCCTGCTTATGAGTTCATTGATCTGTCTCAAGGGCGTTTGTATTTAGCGAATACTGATCAACATGATAAGTATAAACTATCGATCTGGGTTCTTGAGGACTATGACAATCAAGTGTGGGTCTTGAAGCACAGTGTCAGATATATTCATCTATTTCGAGTGAAGTATGCCCATCTGGGAAGCAAGTATCATATTGTCGCCCTCCACCCGCAACGAAACATGATTTTCTTTGTTTATGGGCATCACAAAAGACTCATGTCTTACGAAATGGATAGTGGGAAAGTGCAGCGCATCGACTATCTTGGACATGATTCCGTGCTACCCTACCTTCCTTATGTTCCCTTGTACTCAGAGGAATTGGCAGATTGGCACTGATAATCTGGCTCGCATATCACTGCTCCATTGTTGACCTTTCAGATAATGTTGAATTATAGGTCCCAAGAAATATCGGCAGCTATTTGGTTAGATCTTCCTCATGTTGTGTTACTTCTCCTTTGGTCTCGAGTGTACAGTGTAACCTCACTTTATGGGGCTACCTATTCCAGTTAACTTAGTAGTGCCTCTTATGTAAACATATATGTGTTTATGATTGGTAGCAGCATAGGTGCAACATCCTTTGCTATTAATTTTATGGAGCTACAGTTTTAATTATACCATGATTGCTGTTTGTGATTGTCTAGAATGTTGTGTTGGGCTGTTGGTGTATGCCCTCTTACAATTACTGTATCTGTGTTGTTGAATTTTATCGTGCATTCAAACTATGTAATCATATACCGTAAAACGTGGGAAGGAATATATGTTCTTTTCCTCTTGTCAATGCAGTGACATCTTTTTTTATCTTCGACATATAGTGAACAATAGAGCATGTGAGAGTTTATGTTCCTTTGCTCCTGTAAATGTTGAAATGATCAGCACTAGTAAAGCACATCTATTATTTTCTATTAGATGCTATCAGGAGTCTAAAGCATCATAAGTCTGATTCTAATTTTTTGTCGATTCCATCATTAAAATTGCTTGATTCACTGTGTGTCATATTTAGTTCAAGTGTTGGATGTAAAGTCTGAAACTAACCTTTTGTTGATTTTATCTAGAAAATTGCCCGATCCACTTCCTGTTGTATTTAGTTGCAATGTCTGGTCTTCGCCCGGGGACGCTTTGAAATTTGAATTGACGTTTAATTTAACACAGAAAGGTAGGTACCATCTTCTTCAGAGGCGCCTACAATATATTCAGATAATATATATTATCAGGATAACAAATAATTACATTAGAACTCTCCGTTTTTCAGCCTCTGTGCGCCCTGATTTTGTACCTGCTGGTGCCTTTGGTCCAGTTGGGTATTAAATAACAGACTTTGCAGATTGTGAGTTCAGGTGTAACTATAGAATGAATTAGATGTGTTAGAAAAGTTAAAGTCATATACAAGGGTTTAAAGTTATGAATATCAACTGCGGGTGGAAGCAGCGAGGGAAGCAAAAAATTCAAACAACTGGAAACTCATAGGATGTAAGTGGATTTTTGTATACAAGGTTTCGTTCCGTAGAATTTTACAACTTCATATCCAACTCTTTACACAAAGGGATATATGCTTTGTGGGAACTCTTTGGCATGAAATTTAGGGAAACGAAATAATGACAGGGTTTGCTATTTCAACAAATGGATTTATGGTCTTGTAACAAGATTCACATCAATGATATAAACGCGTTCATCTACAAACGTAAGTGTAAACTGTTTTGCACTATATTGTATATATTTTAATATTGGTCTTGCTTTTTGCAATGATGAAGTCATTGGTGGAAGTGAAAGCTTGGTTATCTTCTATCTTTCATATGAAAGACATGTTTGAACCTTCGTATGGGAGTTGAAATACACGGGGAGTGTTTCGAAACGTTTCTCTATGAAAAATTGCGAACCTGTTAAAATATCTTTGATAAAGGGAACAGTAAGAAATTGTGTTTAACTTCTAAAGGAAATGAAGTTTCTTTTAATGTATTTTCATCATTATAGAAGCATAACACGTAGCGGCCGCCCAGCCCTCGCG